ATCTCGCCTGGCTGGGCTGCGCTTGGACGCGTTACAATCTGATTACAAAGCCTTGCTAAGGCATCCCAATTGGATTATGGCCGCACCCTGGTGCACCGCACTGACCAAGATGGCGGGACCATGAAACCGAACTTGCAAACGTGTATATGCAACGTCAAACACTCAGTTTCCGCTTAATTGTAGTGCTAGCAGTCTGCACCATATGCCACAGCTTCAGAACAAACCTTTATCCTATTCAAAAAATGAAAGCGATTTTCGGAAATTTTCAATGGCAACATGGTGGCCGACAAAGGTCACGAATACAAGTGGCTGGATGGCGCAAACTACCGAGCCAGCACCCCATTTCTCATTGAAAGTCAGAAAATCACTTGTAGCTGTAGAATGTTCTGAAACTCTGGCATCTGGTCCGGACCGCTAGTGCCACATTTGGGTGGAGAATGAGCGCTTGGCGACACATAGTTTAATTTTGCGTTGAAGAAAACACTACATTTCTTTCCCTCCAGAAAAGTATAGCAAAACTTGAAATGACTCTTAAATTAAATACGGCACTAAATATTTATATTTTTTTATTATGTAGAAAGAGGGGAAGAGGGAGAGTAAGTTTTGTGACATCTACAGAGATGCGACTGGTCCGAATCATTTTAGAGCACTTCTTGGAGAAACTTACATGTTATTTCGGAATCAGAAAAAAAGTATGTTTAAAGCATAAGCACACATTTCATTTTCATTCATACCAGCGTGAACACCATGTTAAGATTTACGTGTTTATGCCTACTTTGCCCTCCTGCTTTTCTGCAACCTTTCGATGGCATTAACAACATGGCAGGTTTGATTTTTTAGCTGGCAGTTTAATGGACCTTTCTCGAAATACCGACGTGACCGGTTAGCGCTAGAAAGCATTATGGGAACTGTGAGGGCGTAGTGCCCTCTAGCCAAACCAAGTCAAGCCTTGTCGAGCTTCTACATGCTGATGGCGCACGCTACCACCCGAACTGCAGCGCCATTCTTAATCCATTCATGCTTCCAGGTGAGCTAACGGTCTTGAAACGTTGTTAAAACAAACTGCATTGTTTGTTTGTTTATAGTTTTTTATTGGCAAAGAAAAATAGAATGTATTAACTAGCTCAACTGATTCCCGTAGAAAAAAAAAAGAAAGAGATGTTGGATGCGTTAGTGATACCTAGCTCCCTTGGCGCATGGCTCAAGCGTGATGGCCCATTAAAGAAAGAATGATGGCCCATCCGAAAAAGGGCAGTGGACAAACGTGCTGCGATCGAGGGTTTCTCACGTCACATGGGAAAGGCAACGCAGCACACGGTGCTGCAGAGATTGCCGTCTGCCGTACAAGGGCAGGGGCTCCGGAAGTCAATTCTGATCGGGGGGGGCGGGGGTCAAGGCTCACATCCTTGCAGTGCAGATACCCCCCCAACTTTGAAGATCGTATGCGTGGAAAAACCGAAATGGAGGAAGCGACCTTTGTTTAGCCGAAATCTTTTCTGAGTAACAAAAAGAGATCTTCAAAATCTCTAGCACGCAAGAGCGTTTCTGTGGCCTCTCCTGTCACACCGAACAAAAGTATGAAAATGATTGACGGATGGCAGAAATGCTTTTCGCGTCTAGGCGTCGTGCAGAAACTTCAAGGGGCGCCTCCCATGCTAGGCCAGCTCTGAACCCTCCCCGGCCATTATGGGATCAGTGAGCTTAATTGGCACGGTATTGGCATGGCCGAGCTTGAAAGAGCCGATCCCAAGCAAAACTCGTCGAAGAGAGTGTGCAGTCCCTCCAAGGACATATGCTCCGGACTGCTGTTCGTCGAAGCACTCTGCCAGAGACCAATTTCCCACGGCAAGAGGTTTTACGTTTGGGGAGGCTTATCCAGAGCCGGAGGGAGGCCACCTCCCCGCCATCCTTTCCGATGACAGGGAACGGTAGAAAGGTGCCTTTCCTAAGCTGTCCCCGTCCGGCTGCCAGTGATTAAGATGTGACCAATACACGCGCCTCAAGGCTGTCTCAGAAGAAACGTTTACTCCAGCACTTAACAGGGGTATCAGCTTTACTACCAATTCTCGTCCCGACAAAACGTCGCTGTCCTTTCTTATTCCGCCTCAAGATTGGAAGGTGCGGTAGCATGTTGCTCTGACTACATTAAGGGAGAGTTGTGGGTCAGCCTTCAGCGTCGGGGGGTCATGACCCCTACGAAAAAAACATGAGGGGGGCGGACGCCCCCCCTGCCCCCCCGGTTCCGGAGCCCCCGTACAAGGGGACCCGACGCGAACATAGGCAAAGTGGTTCTTGTAGGCAGTATGGCGGTGGCAGCAGACGACGAAGCAGCGACCCTCACTGTTCCCGTAATGCCTCATGCACGCCGCCTGAGAGCGCGCGCTACTTTCCAGAAAAGTCCATTGCACATAGAATCACAGAGAACAACAGCAAGATCCTGATTGAAGGGCAGTATGAATTGCTGTATGTGGTTATTTTAGGTATGAAATTTAACATAAACTAAATAAAACATTCCCCGGAACTAACGCTAGAATATAATAGTTTTGAGCACTTAAATGGATTGTTTTTTGTAATAGAACTCCAGTTCTTAACTTAAATAGAAAACAATGCTCTTGAGAAATAGAAAACAATGTTGTTTGATATGAACCTCAATGACATTTTATAAACAGAACTTTATGATAATGAAAATCAGCATGTAAACAATAAATATGCTTTTTTATTAAAAAAAAAATAAAAATAGCCTAATTTGTTTAGGTAATTGCCAGGCTTGCATTTACTTAACAAGGTAGAGCGCAGCTGAAACTGACACCCAATTGGCCGCCGCCGTGTTGCACATTTTTTACCACTATGTAGACACGTGACCTTATAGTTTTATGTCTAGATTTTAAAGAAATATCGCACACAAATAATTGCTTATTGATCTTTAATAACATTAACGACGAGATAAGTTATGTTTCGTTTCTTTAAGTCCGAAATGCGCTTTTACGACAAAAACTCAGGCAGCTTTGCAATGCCTCCACTAGATGCTGTCGGTCGCGGCGCTGTATTTTGGGTTTTTATCAGAGCTAGACACTGATTTCTGAGGCTAACGCTATTGAAAAAATAGTTTATTGTGTTCTTTACAGCAATCACAATACAAATCTCGGCTCAGTTTTGCGTAAAACCTCAGGATTTGGTATGGTCATGTGTCTACCGGTCAAAATTGTACAACATGACTTCAGCCAAGTGGGGTCACTTTTGCCTGCTGAACGGGATACCAGTTTATCGTTCTAAGCCTCTCTACCTCGTTGCACTGACTGCACTAGCTAATTTAGTTTTAATTTAATATATTCACTGTGCCACTGAACGCATGGAGGCTGTAAAAAGGTAATAACTAACTATAGTTGACATAGACAAGTAAACATATAAAGCAGTCCATAGAAGTTCTCTCGCAATACTCAGGTAGCCTGGATGAATCTCAAATGTTAAAAAGATGCCGTCAGAATATAGCAGTCTATCATGCATAACAGCTGCAGCTTTATTCAAAAACTGTGCGCAACGTCCTGCTTCAGAGGGGCGCTTTCCCTTTATCACGTGGGTGCACTGAGGCAAAGCAAGGTGTGCAAAATTGCGACGCCTACCGACTCTGCGGCAGTCGCTTCACTGCGGTACTCCGCTGCACGGTGACAAGCACACTCAACGATCGCTTCAGTTATCCATCCAAAACAGACAACAGCATGATAAACATAGCAAAACTTCAATTGCTCTCAATGTTTGATACAGATATCAAATGGAATATGATGATATTGAAGGCGATAATCGAAAGTTTTGGAAATGTGCATGAGCCCACCGTAACAATCCGGCCCTGTAACGGGGCCCGATTTCTTGTATTTTTAATATGAATAATGTGAAAATAAGTTTTGGCACAATGTTCCTCACATTTTGATAAAATGTAGCGGGATGTAGCAATCGAGGTAAGCATTGTGGCGTAAATGGTGCAAATCGGATTGCACCTCTGTTCTACCCAAGAAACTATAAAATAAAAGGATGCAGATGTTTTGCCGGCAGCCGGCACAAGAACCCGCGAAAAACATTGCCGGTAGTTCTTCCCTATTGGCTAACTTTACAATCACATGATGACCGCCAGCATCTTTTGCGAGTGATATTGTGCCAACAGCCGCGGCATACACCTGGGAAAGGGAATGCCGGCTGCTTGAAACACCTGTCTATAACGGTCTAGACTCTTCGAGTTTGCACTCGCTCGGCAATTCTTTTTAGGAGAGTAAGTTTGTAGTTTCAGAGATGCCCGTGAAAGAGGAACCAAATCCGTGGGCCCTAAAGTCGGCGTACGTGACACTTGCTGGTGCGCCGCAAGAGCCAAGTGGGTATAAACACAGGAGATGGCAGTTCCAGCAGCGAAAACAAATCTGAGAACTCCAAGAGCCCGTAACATTCGACACTGGGGCAACATTACCCAAGCCCCGCACCCTCCTCGTCCTGCCCTGTAAACTAGACGAGGCAGCGTCGTTTCTGGGGCAATCCGATCGAAGGTACGATGGCACATGCGCTTGCCTTTGAGCAAAGATGTGGACACACTCCCCCTCTTTTCGGAAATGCCACAGCGAGCGCACAGAAAGTTTTGGCAGAGTTGCACGTCCCTTGATGGGAGCCAGCCAATTACAAAACACTGCCGGAAGAACCTTTCCAGGCACTTACGCCGGCTGCCGGCAAAATATCCACATCCTAAAAAAAAAAAAAAAAAAAAAAAAAAACTTTTTCTGCGCGAGCTGCAGTGTTCCTTTCGGGAATAAATCCTTTAACAACACTGATCTACTTCCCGTACACCTTAGGGAAGGAGGTGTAATTACAACGCGTTTCGAACCCAAAAACCAAATGCGCGTATCAGATAACGCTCGCGTCGCGCAACGAAGCGCGGCAGGGGACTACGAACCCCGGAAGCCTGGGACGAGCAAGCGAGCAGCTGGCGGGAGGCAGCAGTAAAACAAGGCGCTCCCACTCACCAAAGCCTTGGCAGCCGTGTCCGCCTCGCGTATTTTGCCCATCAGCTCATCGTCCTTCGTGCGCAGCGCCTTCTCGACCGCCGACTTCTCGCGGTCGCGCTGCGCGAGCTGCTTTTCGGACTCCTCCAGGTTCTTCAAGTTCTGCACACGGACAAACATGCGGGGAGTTCCTTCATTCCACGAACGCGCGTGCACGCCAGGGAGGCTGAAAGTCCGGAGCTTGCTCTTTTATACTGTTTCATACTTAGCGTGCAACGTTGTCAAAGCTACTGGCGCGAGCGTGGGGCTTGATCTCACAGATCATTTGCACGGGTTCTCGCGCAAACGAAACCATAGCATAGATGAAGCCACGCGCTCGCGCCAGTAGCTTTGACAGCGTTGCACGCTAAGTATGAAACGGAGTATGGGTGACCTTTTACCATGACCGGTCGTGCCTTTAAAATTGCGAAATGCAACTCTTTTTTATTTATTTTTTACACGCTATGTTCTGTACGCTGTGCGCGAGCACGAGTGCGTGTTTTTTTTAAAGCACGAATGCTCGTGAGCGTGCTCTTTTAATTTTTCGTTTTTCTGCGAGCACCTCTTGGCAGATCAGTCGGAGGACGCTTATTTTGTTCGTTTCAACTTCGAAATAAACTGCAAACTAAAAATCTGAGAAAGAAAAAAAGAAAAATCTGCTGCAGATCTTCAGTTTACGCCATTGGGCGTAACGTTCTTTCACAGTTCTTTGCTTATTTCAAACAAAACTTACTTTTCCTCTTTTTTTTTTTATAACAAAGTAGAGGTGTTTTTGCCGGTCCCAACCTTGATATTTACGAAAACAAAAGCGGTACCAAACTTCGCCAATAAAAGAGGTACCAAAGACATCACCTCCTCGAACTTCGTCTTGAGCTGGTCGTGCCTGTTCTTGATCTCGTCTTTCTTCTCGAGGAGGGCGTCGAGCCGGTGCTGCAGCTCCCGGTACTGAGATTCCAGGGCGCTGTACTGCGACGACAGGTTATAGTAGCAGAAGCCGATGAGTGCAAGGCCGATCAACAACGCTGCCAAGAGGAACGGGGGAGCCCGGCCGCCGTAATGGGGCCGCAGAGACCCTCGGTTGCTCCCGTTCGCCTTCATCGTCGGCTTGGGCCTCGTCTGGATGATTGGTGAAACGCTGGAGTGATGGCTCGGGCCGAGAACCGAGTAATGCTATTTGTAAAAAGAAAGGGATAAAGGAGGCGACGCGTTAAAGGGAGTGTAGCATCGCCACCGTGCGTTGGACGGATGGGCAGCAGATTCCTCGACGCGGCAGCGGACGTAAATATTACAGCGTGGCCAACTGCGGCACACTTTTCGTCTGAAGGCGGTGGGTTTGGGTGTTTGTACTTTCTAAATAATTTCGTATGTTTCTTGTTAAAAGTTCGTTGATATGCTAGAAATATTGTTTCAAAATATTTTAAAATAAGTTTAACATATAATAAAATAACCATAAAAGATTATTATTTTCGAATGATGATACTGCTGGCGTTAGTTCTAGTTTCCTTTTCAACTGTCGCGGTTTGAAGAGGCGGTTAGTAAAATCCGAAACAATACGTTTCCGGTTATTCTATTCAAAGCCGCACACAGAACGGAATTAATAAAGCCAATCAACCAATCAGGTTGGAGATAGCGAGATTTTAACTTCCATGGAGACTGCGAAAGAAAACAAAAATAACCTGTGGATACTTTGGCAGCCTAGAAACGGTGATGGCTACTTCAAACACCTAAGGCATACTTCTGGTCCTGTTTTGAATGAAAGGAAAACTCTAACCAAAAATTGATACGAATCTCGAGGTTTTAAGGCCAGTTCGGCCCCTTGATAACGGGTGACTGTTTTTGTTTTCGTCGTCGTCTAGCAAATTCCTTTCATTTATTGCCATTCCTAACCAGATGGATGTCCACCAAAAGGTTTACGTTTAGTCCAGTTTTGTGTGTACTTGTTCTATAAACTTTTAATTAGCATCCTAAGACCGGTTCGGATTTGGTTTTAAATCACAAACTTTGAGAAGCATTTATTTATTTATTTATACCTCGAAGGCCTTACCATAGGACATTACACAAGGGAAACCAATAAGCACTCTGTAAATCTAGAACACAACGCCTGTGCTATTTTGGGGAGAGCATGTACTTGGCAAACAAATGTATAACTGAATCTAAAAAATGTGGAAAAAAAATCCTTGGGACGAGAGAGCACGAGAAAATATTTACTATGACTATCATACTGCAAATTTTGGACTGGAATGAATGATTTTTCAATGGGATTTTAGTAATCGCATATTGTTTAGTGGGATAAAAAAAAGAAGTAGTATAGAAGGGTAGAGTGCCAAAATGCTGCTTTTTTGTAGGAAATTTTGAAAATGTAACAAACTATTTTTACCTCTTTTCCTTAGAAAGCTCCTCTGCGATACGTCCGTGGCACCCAAGCCCATCTTACATATTGGACATGAGCACTGCGTCCCTTGGATGTATGTGCCGATCAACAATCAATCCTTTGACGAATGCTTGAATTCGCGTTTGTGGCCAGTGAATGCCATGACGGCACTTATCGTCACACACTAGCTTGGAGCACATAAAGCAAAAGTCTGTGCTGCAGAACCTAGGGCACACAGGGACTAACTTCAGGCAGTATCAACATACACACAAACACACACACAACTTATCATTTGCAAATGACAAGCTTCATGGCGTGCTTAAAAAGCACGGTGCAAGCTTGGCGTCGTCTTGTTCCAAAACCAACACCGTCAAAGTTGACAATTTGACATCACTCATTTACGTCAATGAAAATGAAATTGATCAGTTGTGATTGCCTGTAGCAGAGCAGGTTGGTTATTCATGCTTGTGGGATATGCCAGCTGAACGAAGGAAGAAATATACAAGACACCTTTCTTCCTTCATTCAGCTGGCATATCCCACAAGCAGAAATTTATCAGGTTGACCCGTCATGGAAGACCGAGCGTGTCGGCCGGAAGGGCCGTCGCTGTTGCTCAACATTCGCTGACGATCGCATCGGATGAAAGGGACATGGACGGAGACTGCCAGCAGAACTTCCGGCTCCGGTTGGATACTATGTCACAATTGTGTGATTTCTCATTTCGCTTTCAAGTTGAGGGGGAAAGCTAAGGAGGAAGAAGTTGAAAAATCATTTCATGGTCCCTTTAAAGGGGCAGTGCAACAATGTTTTTCACTTTACACGAGCTACTTGGCACTAGTGGGGCTCAAGGATACTCACACACAATGCCACTGGCCAAGAAACTCCTTTGTTGCACTGTTATTTCAAGGGAAAGAGCAAGCGTTTTCATTCAACCTCTCCTTCGCAAAACTTGATGACGTAATTGGGGAATTTGAGTATCCTCCAGTGATGATATTTGAAGGCGGTTCATAGGTTGGACCCGAGCACTGCGTGGGCACTCGATTTGGGATTGTGATAATCGATAGCTAGAGAAGCATTTGGGTAGTGTCCCGTGTTGAATCGCTGATTTGACAACAATAGCCAAACCATAACAATGTCTGGAACTCAGTGCACGTCCTGTGCTTTGCCAACCCCAGCGCGTGGCTCAAATCAATATTGGCGGCATATAATCGGCTCCAGATCACGTGGCCGTTTGTTCTGGCTGTGAGTTGAGGTGGTGAACGCTGCTCGTTTTTCTTTAATTGTTTCTGCGACTTCGATTGTGTGTGGTGAAAAACGAATGGGTGCTTCACAGTTCATTAACGTCAGGAATTCGTTGTATGCGGTATTTGTGCAAAGTATGAAAATTGTTGCATTGCCCCTTTAATCCTGACCAGAGTCAATGCTACGACCTAATGGAGCAAATCAAGCAGTGCCAAAAGTGCGTCATCACAATGCTCATCACCTTTGTGCGTCTGCTATTATTGACACAACCAATCATGCACAAAGTTGGTGCCGGGACCCTGCACTTTTTTTCTGGCGCCAGTGATGGCAAACCCCCAAAGGAATGAGTGCCGTAAAACAAAGCGTTGTCCTGCTTTTCATCAGATGAGCCATGCAGATCGAATCAAGAGGCGAATAGCACTGCCTGCAGTTCTATAAGCTGCGACCATGGGCAATTCTATTATTCTCAGAAGTCACAGTACACGTGCAAGATCAGTGGTGACCACACAGTGGCCACTTTGGTGACCCAGAAATTGTGTGCACCAACTAATCAAACATTGTATGAATGTGCCTCGAGATCCTTTTCTTGAAAAATTAACAAACAAACGCAACATTTACAAAAAGGCCCGGTTCAGTTTGACTTCCCTCTTCGAGCCGAGGAACACGCACCAAATATCGAGCCAAAATTCATTTATATATGGCTAGTGTTGACGTGCATACAGAAAAGTATGCCTACACTTCTCGGCGCAAGAAAGCAGTCACTGTTTCACACAGAGTACAAATGTTCAGGCAAGAACTTTCACAAAGACTGCATGCAACGAGACAGGACAGCTCAAGCATGTGCCTTTGCAACAAGCAACCTCCTATGTAGTCCTTTCCTTGTTTTCCTTGTTACTTTCGGCCAACTTCGCAGGGTCACCATCCAACACTGACCTCGCACCGCCATCTTGACTCAGCTGAGGGCTGTGGGACTTTGCACTGTCTTCCTCGAGGACGGCTCCAATCCCCACATCGTAATCCACGAATGCTCGCTGAACAAGCGAACGCTGAACGGAGAGCCAAGCCAGGGCGATCCAATCCGCAATGTGCGATAGGGTTGCTGTCTTCCGGATCCTCCAGAGGCCCTCACCCACGATCCAGTCTGTGTAAATGGCACTTAAGACAGACAAGAAGTTGGAGCAGACGCCATCGAGAAGAGTCGGTGCTTCCCTGAGTGTCGTCTGCCGGTCTACCAGGACACGGTGTACCTTAGAGTCCAGGAACTCGGCCGTCTTGGAGTCTATGATGAGGATGGAATGCTGTGTCGCGAGTGGATCTCCTTGCTTCAGCCAGACCTTCTGGGCCCAGTTGTGGAGGACATCCTTGTCACGGCAGACATAGCCAACCTTCAAGGAAGAGGATACGGTTGTGCAGGTTAGGGGATGGCCTTTGATAGATGGTTGTTACCAAAGCAGTTTAATAATCAAGCTCCTCTACGATGGGCACAACAAAAGTGAGCTGGATATACGTGTACCATTTGTCAAATGGTACACGTATATCAAATGGTACACATATACGTAACAAATGTCAGTGCGTAGACTATGTACCACTAAGAGTTTCAATTATTCTTGTGTATCCATGTTTCCTCTACTGTGCAAGCACATCTTAGAACGGTTGCAAAAACTCGCCAGCCCCGCTTTGCACTTGGCTCATGAGTTCGTCGTTTCATTTACACTTTCCTTCTGTTTCTGTATGATGAATCTTGGGCAGTTACTAAAGGATCAGGATGTTAAATAAAGTCTTGAGAATGCAAACATTGCTTCCATGATGTTTCATGACCAGTGTAAATAAATAATAAAGCTTCTGACGCACCGAGCAAAAGTCTGCATTGCGGACCAACATGCATTTTTTGACACGAAATGTCGTGCAATCGACCGCAATTTATATGAGCAGATTTTTTTTTAAGAGATTCCTAACTCCATTTGTCAGTTATAAATAACGTAAAATAAATCATGCATTCAGCTACATTTAGCACGGTACTACCAAGAGTGTTACACATGGCCTGATGGCCGAGTTATATTTTGGGCTCAGGAAGCTCAGAAAAGACTGTTTTGCACTGTTACAAACTGTTTTAACATTTCTGGAAAACAGAAAAGCATTCTGCAATTTACGGGAAAGTGATAACTACCCACAAAGATCTTAAGCAACAACATGTCTAAAGTGTAGTCAGTCTGAAGTGCGGGTGTGTAGGCGCTGTAGATGGAAATTGGGAGTGGGGGGGGGGGGGGGGGGGGGGGGGGCAATTGTGTACGTGCACAGGGCGCATTTGTCACTGTGAGAGTTTTAATGCCTCTAGGTACACCTATGTTGATTGGATGGCAGTGCATGTGACGCCATGCCTCGTGCGCTGCCATCCAATCAGCGTACGCATGCGCTTTTGTCCTTGGTCGAATGTTGTCCGGAAGTGAACAAAACACTGACTCACCTGGACATCGCTGCGAAACAGAGACACATCGGACACATCTGTCGATTTGCGGTTGAAGCCGATGTAGAGCGGGAGCTTCTGTCCGTCCGCCGTACACGAAAGCACCACGTTCACAACGTCAGAGTTCCTGTAGCCGCAGGCTTCGTCCATGTCCAGAAACTCGGCCGGCTCGTCGAAATACAGGGGCATCTGACACACGATTCCAACCTGAGACGGCGAGTACCGCTTCTTATCCCGGACGCT